ACAGGCCGGCTTATAACATATTATTTATTTTAAATAAAATAAATAAAATTATTATTTTAATAATTTTGAATAATAAAATAATATTATTTTAGTTATTTTTTTAATTATTAAATATTTAATAGGCTTAAACAGGCAAACAGAGATTTTTATTTTTTAAATATAGGTCAGACCAGATTTATAATTTGGGACCTACATAGGCTAACAGGCCAGGTCAGATTCAATGATTTTTACACAGACCTAGCTTATTTAAATCAAAGTCTAACCTAATTTTTTTACACCTCTAACAACACCATAATCGATTAATCGCTGAGGTAATCCGCTAGTATGTACGGGATATATGTCACATCCGAAGGGATACATTAAATTCAAAAAGGGGTCCCTGCAGTCAATGCTCCCCGAAGTTCCGTGCATTTGTAGTTTATTTATACTGGGATAAATTGGTGGATCTTTGGTGTCCAAAAATTTGAACAAAATTTAACTACATATCCTAAAATAAATGAATATTGCATTTCGATGCGTTGGTAGCACCGAAGATTTTCTCCCTCATCTGATAGCTTTATTACACGGACACACAATTTTTTTAAGAAATGGCGTGTCGGACACGTGTCCGACATGGATACGCTCCGACACACTCGGACACACGGTCAATATTTGGGGACACGCGGTCAACTCTTGGACACGTTTTTTTGAACACACGGTCAACTTTTTTCGACACGCGGTCAACGTTTGGACACGCTCAGACACTTTTTTTTCTAAAAAAATAAATCTTAATTTTATTTTGTTAACTAAATATAAAAGAAATAATTTATAAATTATTTTTTTCTGTTATGAAATTTGAGATGAAAAATTAACAAAGTACGAAAAATTGTTATTTTTTATATCTATGTTATGAAATTTAAATATTTGATTGGTTATATGACTTATTATGTGTTGGAAATCGACAACACACAAATCGAAACGGAAAAGAGAGAGAGAGAGAGAATAGACACAACTATTTACCCTGGTTCACCCAATTTAGGTTACGTCCAGCTTGTCTGTACTATATCCACCTCACCTCACCCAATGAGCGGGACCCCAGTTACCTTTCTGCTGACTCTGACAACTAGGGTCATCATCAGCATGCGAAGTATGAACCATACCCAACATATTGTTTCATAAACCTTGAGTTTATCTTGTTTTATGGACTAAATTAATATAAATTATTAGGTTAAACAAGTCAAAAACTAGGGTTTTAATATGATAATCATGAATTTTATGAATAATTAATTAAATGAATTATCTTTGCTAATTTTAAGGGATTTGATGACAAAGAGATTCAAATATGAAGATTTGGATAAAGGGAGATCAAATCAGAAAAGAAGATGAATCAAGGTGAAACCAAGAAGATTGAAGATCTTATCAAGTTGTTAGCAGAGGGAGCTTAAGCCCCATTCCGAAGCTTAAGCTCCCTAAAAACACAATAGCCACTGCCTTTGGGCGCTTAAGCCCCCAACTCAGGGCTTAAGCGCGGACCAAGAAGGAAATTTCAAGTCGAGGAGCGCGCTTAAGCGCCCTCCAGCGCGCTTAAGCGCCCTCCAGCGCGCTTAAGCTCGCAATGCGAACTTTGCCATCACCGTCCTGGGGGGCTTAAGCGCCTGAAGCAAGCTTAAGCGCCCCGAAATATCCAACTTAGGCCCATTCGAGTTTTCTACTAGGATACGAACTCTTGGCCAATAAAAGCACTGTTGGGGACCATAATTAATTAACTTCTCATATTGAAAAACACTTCTTGGTGCTTGGAGACAGAGGGAACGCGGAGAAACACTCGGTTCATGTTCGTGAGCGGCGGAGACGGATCAACATCAAGTTTTCACTAGAGATATTGAAGATTCACCAATCACCTATGGAGTTTGGGGGAGCTTTTATATTGTATTTTGTTCTTGATTTTGCTATGTCTGGCTAGTTCTTTAAGTAGTTAGGGTTAGATGGATTTTAGTCGATTTATTATGCTTTGAACAATTCGTATGTTAATTTTCCTTTATATCATGAATGAAGTTATCTGTTTTTAATGTTTTATATAGGCTTGAATCTTATATAATGATCATCGGTAAATGCATGACAATAGGGATGTTGGTGTGTGATCCATATCTGATAACTTCATCGCAAACGTTATGATTCTAGGGATAGACATAGGGTTTGCGTAATCTTTAAGATTCTTGAACTTAATGCTTATGTTCTTAGGGAATAACCGGGGAACTAGGGTTCTTCCAAGATCGTGAAGGTTTAGGATAACAAGGGATTGAGCCCTAATTATATGCGGAAGAATTGATTAGATTGATACTAAGGACGATTAACATTAAGAAGGAATTCAAACATAATAAAGAGATTAAAGGAAATCGAACCCCTAGCTACGTTCTTTTAAATTAGTTAATCTCATCTTTAATTTCTTGCTTTTATTCTTGATTCATTAGAGTAAATCACATCTTTAAATTCTTATTTTAATTTTTGCATTTAATGTTTTAAATTCCAAATCCAAAATTCTGTTCCAAATACAACTTTGATTGTCCAACTTAAGTTGCAATAGTGAATTGGTGCTTGAACCGTAATCCTTGTGAGAACGATCTCTTACTTAATCATTATATTACTTGTACGATCGGTGCACTTGCCGTGAATCGCTATCATGCATCATAGTTTGATAGTTTATAATTATATTCTCAACAAACCTTCGTCATTACATTCACTTCATTTTGATGGAACAGTATTTGAGATGAATAAGTAAAATAGGAATAGAGTTTATCAAAAAAAAAAAAAATAGAAAAAGATAACATAATATTCTATTCCATAATAAAACTATATTTTTATTCTCACTGTGTTGAGATTTGAGACATTGTATTTACTTGTTGTTTGGATTTTTTTTTAAGTTAAAATTTATTTTTAAGTTAAAGTTAAAAATAATTTTTTTAAATATAAAGGTATAAGTTGTTTGATTATTATATGAGATTTTTATCTTTTATTTAAAAAAGTATACATTTAAAAAAAGTTGATATAACTTAAAAAACTCCTTCAAAAAACTTTTGAGTTTTAGCTTCTTTTTTTCGTTATATAAAAAAAAAATTTCTATTGTAAGTATTTTTGTAAAAACTTATCTAAGCTAACTTCTACTTATAATGAGAAAAAAAGCTAAAAATAAAATAATAATCAAAACAGGCATTAGTCTTGGGTCAATCGAGTTTAATTAATGTAATGTAAAATAAGTAATTTTTTTTTCAAGTTTGCATCTTTAGTTTAAAAAATAAAAAAATGGTTTATTTTCTCTTTATATGTGTTTAATAAATTAATTAAAATATAAGAATGATATAAAACAATTATTTCTAAGTGACTTCTTTATGTGAATTATATTTTAGGTCAAATCAGGAATCCTTTATCTATTTTTTATGATTTAAAAGTAATAATTACTTGTAATATTTACCATTTAATTTTTAATAAAAAAAGAAAGAAAGCGGAGTTTAGCGTAAATTAGAATAATACATACGTCTACCAAAAAAAAATTAGAATAATATATATAAAGTTATAAGAGCACATAAAAATAAATCGTGTAAATTAGAGTAAATTACTTATTATATTTTTTAGCACTTTTACGGTTTACTTAAATTAAGTTTAAATAGTTTACCAAAAAAAAATTAAGTTTAAATAATATAAAATATTTATTTTTTTAAATATAAACACATATATTATTGATGCTTTATTTCTATTTTTTATTTTAAAATAATAATTTTAATTTATTAAAATAAACTATTAAGATAATAATAATTTATTCTTTAACAACCATGTACATATATAATAAGAGATCTATTAATCTCATGTTGCATGAGACAAGATAATAAGTGGGGTTGGATATGTGTTCGATTCCCGCTGAATGCATTCTTGGGGAGGGGCTGAACCTTTAGCCATCACTGTTCTCCAGCACTCCGGATTAGTCCCATAGCCGGCTCAAAGAGTCGAAGCTCGTGGGGATACCGAGGGGAGCCAACTCGTCTCAAAGAGATAATTAGGGTTGGGTAACTCCAAAAAAAAAAAAAACAAAAAAAAAAAAACAATGTGGACCTCACTACTTTGTCTCTGTTACATGAGATAATTATTTCTGATATAATAATAATATATTCAAATATAACGATAGACAATAATAAAAAATAATGAATACAAAACACATGTGAATGATATTTGAACATAATATTCTTTATTTGTAATAGTTATAGGGTAAATGATTTCTCCGGTCGATGAAGATAAATTATCTCCAGTGAGCTTAAAACGACGTCGTTTTGTGACAGAAATCAAGGTATTTTTGTAATTATAATATATTGCAGCATTATATTAGTCTTTATCATTATAATTTTTTAATTTTATAACCTCAAAACAAGGTCATTTTGAACCCACTGAAGATAATTTTATCTCTGGTAACTGAAGAAATATTTTTCCCATAGTTATATACCACATTAGATTGTTATGTGTCATACTCTTTCATACATCAAGTTTTTTTTTTTTTTTTTGTTAAATTATTATAAGGGAAAGTTAAAAAAGAAAAAACCCTTCTGGTTTAATATTTTATTACTTATTCCTTGTATTTTTTTCAATCACTTGTTTCCCTTGTATTTTTGTGCTTTTCACGTAGACAAAATGAACGAAATAGCCCAATATTTAAAGGCATTAACGGTGGATTTAAATAAAAAAAATTAAAAAAAATTAAAAAAATTAAAAAAAATTAAATTCTTAAAAAATATAAGAGATTAAATGATTTTAAAACAAATAATATGATTTTTTTTATTTTTTTATTTTTCCATGTGTTTAATAAAATAATAAAAGGAAAATATATTTTTCATGATTCATTAGATAAAATTGTATCGTGATAAAAAACAAAAATTTGGGTGGGACGTAAAATTATAAGATTGATAAAAATAAAATAAAATTATGCCAGCTCTTTGGTTATTGGGTAACACAAGACAAGAAGACCATGAAACAACGAATTGAAAACGGTGGAACCCAATTGAGTCTGAGATTGAGAGTGAGAACATAATGGCCAGCAAAGAAGAAGAAGAAGAAGAAGAAGAGGCACCAATGGGGAAGTTGGGTTCCTACGGTGGTGAGGTGAGGTTGGTGGTTGCTGGGGAGGAATCAGCTGCGGAGGAGACCATGCTTCTTTGGGGTATTCAACAACCTACACTTTCCAAACCCAACGCTTTTGTTTCTCAATCTTCCTTGAAACTTTGCCTTGACTCTTGTGGCCACTCTCTCTCCATTCTTCAATCCCCTTCTTCCTTGGTATCTCTCTTCTTTCTTCTTATTCTTCTTCCATCTAACGCTTGGGGGCATTGCCTTAATTAAATGTTATGGGTAAAAGCTTTGATTTTGATAATGTCGTGGCTTCTAACTCGGTGACCCATTTGTTCTTTTTAGCCCAAACATGATGACCCATTGCATAAAATACTATGTTACAGATTATTACTGCTTAAAGTTAGAAGCTTGTGATAGCCCTTGGTGACTTTTGCCGTGTTTCCTGTTGGTTGTGTATGTGATAATTGAGAGATAGAGAAAGATTATCTACTTCTTTTTTGATAATTTAGATGTAAGGGTTCTGTTCACATGTATAATTTACATTAGTTCTCAAGCAGCTTCTGCTACAGCTTGTATCTTTTCATGCTACTAATTACTAGGTTTAAAATTTGATGGTTAAATTGCCATACCATGAATTGCCTGTTGTTGTGTTCAGCTCAAGTTAAGGATTTTTGAACTTTTGATTTAAGGGCACGCCTGGAGTAACTGGAGCAGTGATGTGGGACAGTGGAGTTGTATTGGGGAAGTTTCTAGAGCATTCTGTTGACTCAGGGATGCTTGTTCTTCAAGGCAAGAAGATTGTTGAGTTGGGATCGGGTTGCGGATTAGTCGGGTAATTACAATCACAATCTCAGTCTTATTGTTGATCAGTTTGTGCCAAATGGCTTTAGCTTGTCAATATGTTTTTTATTAGCTTTTAACATTTTTCATGTGGATTCAATGAACTAGAAAACTAGAGCTTTGAGCATTTGCATTGTTTTTTTATGACTAAGTTGTCTAGCAACTGGTAAAGAACTATTGTTTAGCTTGTTATTACTCAGTCTATAATGCACTATTCTTATTTTTTCTTCCCTAGTTGCATTGCAGCTCTTTTGGGTGGTGAAGTCATTCTTACTGATCTGCCTGATAGGCTGAGGCTACTTAGAAAGAACATTGAAACCAATATGAAACATGTTTCTCTACGGGGTTCTGTAACAGCAACTGAATTCACATGGGGAGAAGATCCTGATCCAGAAATCATTGACCCCACACCTGATTACGGTAATAATCCTCCCTCAACCTTTTCTAACAACATACAAGGAATAAACAAGTTTCAACTACGTGCACTAGAAAACTTATATTGTTACATGTTGCAGTCATTTATATTGCTGTGATTATCGTATTATTCTAAGCATAGAGTTGTAGTTAATTTTATCTTTTTTCCTCTGATTTGTATGCCTTATTCACTGTTTGAATTTCCTTTGTCTGATATGTTATTGCTTTGGCAAGTGCACCGAGTCATATATGTAATGCAGTGGAACTTCGTTTCCACGGAGACTGAAGATTACCAATTACTAATACATTAAGGATAACACTATTTGGATGATTGTAGATTGAAGAAAGTTCTAGGATGAATTGAAATACAAGTACTGAAATCAAAACCGATATTGTTGTATTTTTAATATGAAGAAGTTAACAAAACAAGAACAAGAAATTTGCTCAATGAAAATTGATGTTAGGATTCAGATTTCACTTAATTCTCTCTTGAAGTAATTGAATCTAAGCTTTAATGGAAACCCTTGATCTACTATTGATGGTCGAATCCCCAATTTTGACTAGTATCCAATTCCTTGGTATACTAATTCTCTTTTAATCAGCCACAATTAACTAATCCCTTAGTATAACCATAAATGACTAAAAGCAAATTAACGGGTTCAATGGTGATGTGAAGTGTCCAGCCTGGATAGGAGGACTGAGGGGTTGTTAACCGAGCTAGAGGCACTGTTATGAGAAAAACCAAAGCTCAACGACTGTCGATTTAAGGAGGAATATGGTAGTTGGATGCTATGTATACGGTGGAGAAAGGGTGGTGTGTGTGGTCATCTGCAGAATGTTAAGTGCTCAGAGAGAATGAGAGAAAGAGTGCAATAAGCTGAATGAGAGAAAGAGTGCAATATTACTAAAACTGAGAAAAGTATTCATTGCATTAATGAGAGCATCTTGCTCATGTAAATATATATACAAGGTTATCAGCAATAAGCTGAAGAATAAAGTTAGCTATCAGAAACTAACTAACAAACTAACAACGGCTATTAACAAGCGAATAACTAACTAGCAAATCTTGAAACTAATCACGTGGGTGCAGTTGAACTGGGAGGCTTGTTATCAGTTTGTGAAGCTGCTTGATCTATCTGTATTACCCCCCCACAAGCTGGGCTGTGTAAGTTACGAAGCCCAAGCTTGGACATGAAAGATTGGAAAAAATGAGGATGTAAAGCCTTAGTAAACACATCGGCTAGCTAAGAAGAAGTAGGAACAGGGAGCAAATGAATAAGACCATCATTGATCTTCTCTCGTGTAATATGGCAATCAATTTCTATATGCTTTGATCTCTCGTGAAAAGCTGGATTCTTGGCCAAATAAATTGCAGAGAGATTATCACAAAAAATAGGAACATGCTTTGTAAATGGAACTTGTAGATCAGTAAGCAAAAATTTTAACCATTGAACTTCACAAGAAATAGATGCTAAGGCTCGATATTCAGCCTCAGTCGAAGAACGAGACACTGTAGTTTGTTTCTTGGAACGCCATGAAATCAACGAAGATCCAAGAAATAGACATAGACCAGTAACAGAGTGTCTGGTATCGGGGCAGCAAGCCCAATCACTATCTGCAAAACCGGATAAGTGAAGATCACCAGAGCTGGGGAAAAATAGACCTTGACCAGGAGCATTCTTCAAGTAACGAAGAACACGATTGGCAACAGTAACATGAGACTGAGTTGGTGCAGAAACATATTGACTTAATTGATGAACAACAAAACTAAGATCTGATCTAGTGGTAGTCAGGTAGAGAAGCCTACCTATGAGACGTCTATAAGAAGAAACATCATCAATGACATCAGAAGCATCTTTAGAATGACTGAGCTTGATAGATGGATCCATTGGGGTTGAAACCAGTTTAGATGCTAGGAGACCACTGTCCGAAATCAACTCTAATGCATATTTTCTTTGGTTAATAATGATGCCATCCTTAGAGCGGGCAACCTCTAATCCAAGGAAAAATCGAAGGTTCCCTAGATCTTTAATCTTGAATTGAGAATCTAGAAAAGCTTTCACACGGTTGATTTCATCAATGTTATCACCTGAAAGTACAATGTCATCCACATAAATGAGTAGGGCAGTGAATGAATTAGAAGTATGATGAACAAACAGTGAGTGATCTGCCACAGATTGAACATATCCGAGTGAAACTAATGCGGTGGTGAGTTTTGAGTTCCATTGGTGACTGGCTTGTTTAAGCCCATGTAATGATTTCTGCAACTTGCATACTTGAGGTGAATGAGAAGAAGAGAAGCCCTCAGGCAATGCCATGTATACTTCTTCATGAAGATCGCCATGTAAGAAGGCATTGTTAACATCCAGTTGAACTAAGTGCCAACCGCGAACTGCAGCAAGGCTCAGTAATACACAGACAGTAGTCATTTTGGCAACCAGTGGGAATGTATCGAAGAAATCAACGCCTTCCATTTGCGTGTAGCCTTTGGCAGCGAGCCGTGCCTTATACCTTTAAATTGTGCCATCAGCATGATGTTTTATTTTGTAGACCCATTTGCATCCAACCACATGTTTATCTACTGGTTTGTCAACAAGTATCCAGGTTTCATTCTGCTCTAAGGCAGAAATTTCATCTCTCATAGCCTTTTGCCAATGCTCATATTTACTGGCTTGAGCATATGATCGTGGTTCAACATGGGTGAACGTGTTGAGACAAAAACGAGTATATGTGGGAGAGCAATTTTTATAAGACAAAAATTGAGATAAAGGAAAATTAGTGGTACCTGAGGAAGATTGAAAAGCTGATGTAGTAGAGAGGCTGCAGTGAAAATCCTGTAGATAGCGTGGAGCAGCTTTAATGTGACCAGAGCAACGTGGCTCAACTGTTAAAGGCACTGATGAGTCAATGGCAGAGTTGGTAGGAAGGGAAGAGGTGTCAGTGGCAGGTGGATGAAGAGCATCAGTAGTGGGTGATGAATTGGCTTCAAAAGGTAATGGAGGTAAGGTGTCAAGATAGGGTGGATTTGAAATTGGATCAGATGGTTGGTTTGGTTCACTGTTGCTCTTAACATGAAAAGGGAATAAGTTTTCATAAAAAATCACATGGCATGAAGTAAAAATTTCCCGTGAGGTTAGATCATACAAGATATATCCCTTAACACCTTCTTGGTAACCAATGAAAGCACATTTTCAAGATCTTCGGGAGAACTTGTGTCGTTGGGAAGAAAGGGTACTGGCATAGGCTAGGCAGCCAAAGGTTTTGAGGTGTAGTAAGGTTGGTGGCATGTTATACAGGATCTCATAAGAGGACTTATGTTGTAATAAAGGGGTACTCAATCGGTTGATAATGTGAGCTGCATGGGCAACTGCATAGCACCATAATTTTGGAGGCAGTTGTGCTTGGAAATAAAATGCTCTAGCTACATTCAAGAGATGTTGATGTTTCCTCTCAACCCTTCCATTCTGTTGTGGAGTTTCCACACAACTCTTTTGATGGATAATCCCTTTCTTTTGGTAAAATTCAGGCATGATGAACTCAAGTCCATTATCACTTCGAAGGACTTTGAGTTTGGTATTAAATTGAGTCTCTATGTAAGTAATGAAATTATGCAGATTTTGTCTGACTTCTGCTTTAGATTTTAGTAGAATAATCCACACAAAACGTGAGAAATCATCTACAAGAGTGAGAAAATATCTATGTCCACGAATTGAAGGGATACCATATGGTCCCCAAATGTCAGCATGAAGCATATCAAAAATTGCTTTAGAATTTGTATTACTAGAAGAAAAAGGTAACTTGCGTTGTTTGGATATATTGCAAATATCACAGGGCTTTACATCAGCACAAGGAATAAAGGGAAACTTAATGGACATCTGTTTCAGAATTGGAAAAGAAAGGTGTCCTAAACGGGAATGCCAAAGTCTTGCATTATTTTGATCAGAAACAGTAAAAACTGTATGCATCCCACTATGAGAAGACTCTGACTTATTTTGAACAATATGGCTTGCTTGCTCCTTGACTAGCACATACAGCCCCTCCCTTGCCTCAGCTATACCAATTGTCCTCTTGGTGTTGGCCTGTTTAATGTAGCAATGGGATTTGTGAAAAGTCAGATAACAGGGAATAACTGTCACAAGTTTGGATACAGAGATTAAATTGACTTTAAATTCGGAAACATAAAGCACATCTAATAATGTGAGAGAATCAGACAAATGTACAGAACCAGAAAGGGTAGTTACCACACGTGTTCCATTTGGCAACATAATGGATATAGGTGAAATTTTATGTGTGGAAGAGAATTGTGAAAGTATTGGACAAATATGATCCGTGGCCCCAGTGTCAAGAAGCCAATGGACAGATGTATTACCTGGGTGGTTATTGTTTAAAGGAAGGAGAGAGTTTGAGTTCATGGCTACAGCTTGAACCAAATTAGTTGAATGAGTGACTTCTTCACTGGTAGATGAATGTAAATGTTGGCCATGTAACAGATCAATAAGCTGTTGATACTGCTCCTGTGAGATAGTGAGTCCAGCTTGAGTATCATTAGCTGTTCTATGTTCAGAATCACCAAGTTGAGCATAATTGGCTGCACTGCGAGGTTTCAAATTGGATGTCCTGTATCCTGGAGGATAGCCATGAATCCGATAGCAAGTCTCCACAGTATGGTTGAGTCTACCACAATGTGTACACACCTTGCTTCCACGATTATTGGTAGAACCAGCATGACCATTGTTTCTAAATCTTGCTTTGTCAGCAGGAGCATATCTTTTTCCAGTGCTCGAATTTCCAGCAAAAACTCGTGAATCTATGGATGAGTTTCCATCATGTTGAAAATGCCTTTCTTGTTGTACTACAAGAGAAAATGCTCTACTTACATGTGGAAGAGGATCCACCATCATGATTTGTGACCTTACATGAGCATATTGCTCATTTAAGCCTTTAAGAAACCTCACTGTATGATCTTGACATCGATAGTCTCTTACCAGAGTGATGGCACCACATGTACATGGAGCTACACATCGACAGGAAGGCAAAGGCCTCAAATTATCTAGCTCATCCCAAAGCTTCTTCAATTCAGTAAAATAATCGGTGATACTTAGCTCACCTTGTTGAAGTTTGTAGACATCTTCTTGAATATCTGACATCTTGAAGATATCTGACTGACGAAAACGATCTCTAAGATCATTCCAAGCTTCGAAAGCACGATCAATCCAAAGGATGGATTGCTTAATGGAATCATTGATTGATCTATGGATCCATGCAAGAACCATAGTATTGCAGCGTTGCCAAGCCAAGAACATAGGATCTGTGGCATCTGGTGGAAGTAGAGAACTATCAATGAAACTGAGTTTGGTCTTTGAAAGAAGTGCCATACTCATGGCTCGCGCCCAGGAATGGTAGTTCCTCCCATTCAGCAATGGAGTAACTAGCACCAAGGAGGGGCTTTCATTCGGATGTAGGAAATAGGGATTTGCAGGATTAGTAAGGTAATCTGGAAGTGGCAATTGATTAGCCATGGAAGATCGAAATCAAGAAGAAAGAATGAGCGAGAAAGAATGGAATTTTCAGAGTGAAAAGGAAGATGCAGCGGAGGTGGATGCCAGAGCCTAGAGATGCTCTGATACCATATTACTAAAACTGAGAAAAATATTCATTGCATTAATGAGAGCATCTTGCTCATGTAAATATATATACAAGGTTATCAGCAATAAGCTGAAGAATAAAGTTAGCTATCAGAAACTAACTAACAAACTAACAACGGCTATTAACAAGCGAATAACTAACTAGCAAATCTTGAAACTAATCGCGTGGGTGCAGTTGAACTGGGAGGCTTGTTATCAGTTTGTGAAGCTGCTTGATCTATCTGTATTAATTTAAGGAGGAATATGGTAGTTGGATGCTATGTATACGGTGGAGAAAGGGTGGTGTGTGTGGTCATCTGCAGAATTTTAAGTGCTCAGAGAGAATGAGAGAAAGAGTGCAATGCATAAATGGTCAAAGGTCCTTGCAATGGAGTAGGAACATGTGTTATGTAGGTGGTTGTGTAATATTGCAAAAGGGGTGACGTAATGTGAATGATTCTACAGGTGATGAATGTGTGCCAAAACATGGGGGGAATCATATATTCAGTGGGGGAAGGTTGTTATTTTGTGAGAGAGAAGATATTATGTGATAGGGATGAATCGTCTTGTAGTGGCCAGTGGGGAGTGGAGAATGGGCTGTTTAAGGGGTCCAATGCTCCAGTCCTGAACATATGGGATTCCAAGAAAAACTACTTGAAAAGCATAATCTACTCCTAAATCTGAATTGAATGAGAAAGAGTGCCATCAGATGCTTTTTGATTTTTGACTAATTATATATATGAAGTGTTCAGCCTGGATAGGAGAACCAAGCTAGCGGCACTGGTATGAGAAAAACCAAAACTCAACTATAGTCGGTTTAAGGAGAAAGAAGGTTGTTGGATGCTATGTATACGATGGATAAGGGGGGGGGGGGGGGGGGGGGGTGTGGTCAGAGAATAACAGAAAGAGTGAAATGCATAGATGGCCAAAGGTCCTTGCAATGGAGTAGGAACGTGTGTTATATAGGTGGTTGTGTAATATTCCAAAAGGGGTGACGCAACGTGAATGATTCTACAAGTGATGAATGTGAGGGGAATGTATCTTCAGTGGTGAAAGGTTGTTATTTTGTGGGAGAGAGAAGATATTCTGTGATAGGAACCAATAGTCTTGTAGTGGGGAGTGGAGAATGGGCCGTTTAAGGGGTCCAATGCTCCAGTCCAGAACAAATGGGATTCCAAGAAAAACTACTTGGAAAGCATAATCTACTCCTAAATCTGAATTGAATATGCTTTTCGATTTTTGACTAATTATATGAATGGCTTATTGATTCAATACTGTCAAGCAAGCGACTCTCGCAAATGCTTAAAGTGTTAGGTAGAGGCATATGAATGGTTTATATTCTATATTATTTCTAACACACCCTTTGTTGAGATACATAAAACCATTAATGTAGCCTCACAACAGCTTAAGCTTTTGGGTTGAAATGGTTCTTTACATGGTATCAGAGTCTTGGTGTACCGGGTTCGATCCTCACCGCCTCGCACTTTCTTTCTAGTGGAATTTCTTTCTTCGCACAGGTAGGTGGGCCTGTGTATCGTCCACTCTTCAAGCCTAGTGAGCTCTCATGTGAGGGGACGTGTTGAGATATATAAAACCATTAATGTAGCCTCACCCAACAGTTTAAGCTTTTGGGTTGAAATGGTTCTTTACACCCTTTGCATAATAGTTCATTGGGCTTGTAGGGTGGACAATGTACAGATCCACCTATTTGTGCTAAGAAATTTCACGATATTTATTAGAAGAATAGGAGGAGCAAGAATCAAATAGTAGTTCACTTAGCCATAGGCCTTAATACCATATCAAGCAACCAATTCTTTCAAAAGCTTAAATTATTAGATGAAGACATATGAATGATTTTATATTTTATATTATATGTCTAACAAGTAATTGATTTCTTTTTTCAGTGCTAGGATCTGATGTTGTGTACAGTGAGAGGGCTGTTGCGGATTTGCTTGAGACACTTGGGCAGCTCTCTGGGCCTAATACAACAATATTTTTGGCTGGGGAACTTCGAAATGGTAAAGAATGCATTCATCTTTCTTCTTTTTTGGACCCCAATTCTTACCGTAATTCTGAATTGTGTTTTCTGATTTCAGATGCCATTCTTGAGTACTTCTTAGAAGCTGCAATGAATAATTTCACAATTGGCCGTGTGGATCAAACACTCTGGCATCCTGATTATTGCAGCAACCGTGTTGTTCTTTATGTTTTAGTGAAGAAATGATTGTTAAAATTAATGTTTTGTTGTCTTGTGAAAGTGAATCAATAATTTAACATTTTGAGTACTATTCTTTCTCCTTGTTCTTTCCTTTTCTCCTTCAGCTCCCCAAGTGTTTTTTTTTTTTTTTTTTTTCTATTCAATGAGAGTTTGCATTGGTTTGATGAATATCAATCAAAAGTTAAGATATATTCTGATTGTTAGAGAAATATAATATAAAATTATTAATATAATTTTATCTAACAGTTTAAGATTTTAGGTTAAAATAATTTTTTATTGATTTTAGAGCTTTCGTGATTAAATAAAAAATATTAAATACTGCAGAGTTTTTTTTATCACAATTGGGTTGAGTTTGATCCATTGTTCATTTTTCAAGTTCAATGAGCTTTTGTATGAAAGAATATATCATTAATATAACTATATTTCTTTAAGGTTTTAGATTAAAATGATTCATAATGATATATTAAGGGATTTGCTTCTCTCCTTTTGTAGAAAAATTGTCAAGCTTCCTGCTGACACAAAGAAACAATGGGCCTTATCATTTTATAAAAAAAAAATAAACAAAAAGTGAGGCACGATTTACTATGTAAATGCAAGGAAAAAAAATTCACATTCCTGCTGCATAGGAAAAAGTTTACCCATATATTAATCTGGTTAAATGTTGAAGATTTTGCTATGTCACGTATTTTGGACATCCCCTTGGACTCAAGTCGTGGCTTTGCCGAAAAATCCTTTCTTAGTTGAAAATTGGAATTGGAATTTGGCTATCTACGCCAAGACTTAACTTGATGTGTTGGGATACGTTTGAATGTTATTCATTTTGTTGAATAACCATATTTCTAAATGTTATTATATCATATACTTACTCCAATTTCTTTTCTTTGGGGGGTTAAGTTACTTACTGTATTTCATAATATATGTGCTACTTCAAACATTTAAAAAGAAAAAAAAATTATAAACAGCTTCATATGAAGTGGATGCACTTCAAAAGAAAATATGTAGCGTTATAATCAATTATTAAAAAATAATTGAAGTAAATGTCAACATTTTTATAATTAGTAATACGTGTGTATATTATTATAATTTTTATCATAAATTTATTTATTAACGGTTATGTCTCTACATTTATTTTTCAAATATTTATTTTAAAAGAACTAAAAGGATAAGGTGCCCTGCCCAAGTTTAATCGTTAAAATTTCATCATAATAAAAGTTTAATAATAATTTTTATTTTTTACACTAGTTGTACCAAAATTTAACAAATATTTATATATTTTTTTAATACAAATGAGAATTGAACGAAAAAATCTAATATACTACTATTGTATATGTACATTCCATCAATAGGAGCATAACACATAAGCTGACATGTTTTCTAAATTTTTTTTTTTTTTTAATATTATAATATTATAATATATTATATATATAGTATTTTTTTTTGAACTGAAGTTGTACCGAGTACTTAGTGAGACGGTAATATCAGAACACATAACTTAATTCAATCTACTTAAATCCCTCACAACTTAACCAATGCCAGTGGCTAAGTATTTCTTTTTAGGGAAAGGATATTGTAACAATCAAATTGTGTTACTACCAAGTTATTACCAATCAATCTCACTGTTAGATCGATTATGTTGATCCAACAGTTATATTTTTTTTCATCTTTGTATGGTCATGATTTCTCAAATTTAATACTTTATATTTATTTTCACCTTTGTATGGTTATGATTTTCCCTGTTTAATGCTTTCACTTTAAATACGGGGAATCATAACCATACAAAGATGGAAATAAATATAACCGTTGGATCAACATAATCGATCTAACGGTAAGATTGATTGGTAGTAACATAACTCGGTTATTACTAGAGGTGTAAATGGGCCAGGCTGGCCCGGCCCAGCCTACAGCCCGGCCTACATTAAGCCTGGCTTGGCCCGGCCTTTCAAAAAAGTAGAGTAGACTTAGGCTTTTAAGAAAACTTTTCTAACAAATAGGCCGTAGGCCAATTTTGTCAAGCCTGGCCCAAAGCCTTGTAAGCTGGCTTATTTAATTTATTAAAAATAAAATAATATTTATTTTATGTGACATGGCAAAGTACCAATACCAACCCTAATTTTTAGATGAATGACATTCTCTTGTAGACTTTATTTCAGCACCCAATAATTGTATTTTTCTTATTTTCCCTATTTCTTTGACTCTATTCCTCTATGATATACATTCTAAAGCTTATGTATTATGTTGACTCTTTCTTGCTTGTTATTTTTTTCTTATGAGAAGTACTAGTGCATGCATGAATGAAACTTTCTTTGCTCTATACAATTATTTTTTTTGTTTAGTATCTACAGTGTTAGGCCTACAAGGCCTGTAGGCCATGTCGGACTTTCATATTTTTAAAAATAGGCCAGACTTGACCTACAAATAAAGTCTTTAATAGGCCAGTAGTCCAGATAGACTGAATTTTTTTTTATGTAGACTTGGGTCAGGAAGACCAAAGCCCAACCCATTTACACCCCTAGTTATTACAATATTCTTCCCCTTCTTTTTATTATAAAATAGTGATAACAGATTCGAACTTGTAACCTCAATTTACCCAAATTCTTGACAGTTGCCAACTAACATTCGTAACTGCGTTATATACAGCTTGTATCAGTACTCTTTTTTTTTTTCTTTTTTAGTGAAACTTGTATCAGTACTTTATTTCAAAAGTAAACACCCTTTTTATTTCTGACAATATCTACGAAGTCCTTTTCAGTCCTGACAATAAAAAAGGACCAAATTGGTCCCTGAAAGTACAAGAAAATGGTCACTCTACATATTTGAGAGTTGACATAAGGACTAACATAGCCCTTTTTTTGTAATTTCAGGACCAATTTGGTCCTTTTATATTGCCAAGGACTAAAAAGGACTTCGTAGATATTAACAGGGACTAAAAAAGATGTGCACTCTTACTTCAATGTCGTATTGTAATGATGGCCCATTCGTGTATTTAGAAATTGAGGCATTCTTCAGTTCCTTCGATTGTATTCTCTCACCGTTGACCCACCAGCCATTTTACCAACCTCACTCAAAACTAAAGAAGCAAAATAATTAGATACAGTAAAGTTGCAACTTGCAATTTCTATGTGCATCATCCTTAGTCCTTCCTTACCTACCACCTCCACCACCATCAACAATTTAAGTTCTCTTGGACTGGTTTTCACTTTTTAATTCTTCTTCTTCTTCATTCAGCAACATGTCATCATCAACCCCTCAAGTCATAACCTGCAAAGGTAAATTCAGCTACCATTTTTTTATTTTTTGGGGTGAATGAATTCACTCATTTTCTTCCACTTTTGATGTCTCTGTACTTTGTTTTATAATGGGTATGTGATGGTTTGTCTTTTTAATGGTGTCTTGGAGATGGAACAGCTGCAGTGGCATGGGGAGCTGGAGAGCCATTGGTAATGGAGGAAGTGCAAGTGAGTCCTCCCCAACCAATGGAGATTCGGATTAAGGTTGTCTGCACCTCTCTCTGTCGTAGTGATCTTGCTGCTTGGGAATCTCATGTAAGTGTTTTATGTGATTATATCCTATTTCCCAGTTTACTCACTCCACATGAACCATTTTGACACCTCATGTCATTCCTATTTTGAAAATGTGGCAATGTTACATTTATGTAGAACTTGTTTCATAGAACTTCTCATGTATCTTCTGGAACATGAAAATTAGTGGAATCATATGTTGGGTAACATGTGCCCGGCAACCACTCTTTGTTAGATGCAATTAAATAACATCATTTTTTTTTCTTTTTGTTGCCAACCTATCATATCTGAGGCAATGTATAATTGTATACCAATCAACTTTATGTTTTACTTGATTAATATAATTTTATTAGTAAATTCTGAATATGGAAGATGATTAGTTTTATAAAAGCTAATGAATGCTGGTAGGTTTTATTCTGCTGATGGATGTTTCATTTTGTCATAGTTTTAGGTATATTGGGTTAAATATCTAATACAAGGTGCTTTTTTGTGCAGGCCATATTTCCTCGCATATTTGGCCATGAAGCATCAGGGTAATCTACACTTAGTGTTCTACTTTTGGATTAATGCTACAATGAGTCACTATGAATCCTTAGGTTATTTTCTTTGAATATCTTACAAAGAATTTTTGTTTTCTTAAGAGTTATCTAATTGGCTGGTATGAGAATTAGATTAAATCTGAGATGCTAAGTTCATTTAGAGCTAGGTTGTCAGTAGCGGCCCGTAGCGCCGCTAAACCGCTGCCGTAGCGGGTAGCGGCGGTCGGCCGCTACAAACCGCGACGCTACGCGACATTGGCCGTAGCGGAAAGTAGCGGCGTAGCGTAGCAGCAATACCTCTACCCGCTACACCTGCTACACCGCTACACCACTCCCATGTTGGAATTTGATGGAGAATCCGGAGATGATGATGATTTTCTTTATTAGTTCACTTCTTGTACTTGACTATTTGACAATTTTATTGTTCAGTTGTGTTTAATTTTGGATCCTTCCTTTATGTTCCTTGTATTTGACATTGATTGTGGAATTATGTGTTTGATTTTGTGTGACTTCTTATATTTGAGCATTAATACTAAAAGCAGTATTGCCTCATTTCTTGACTGTTAGTATAATATATGTGGAATTAATACTTTACCGTAGCGGTAATACCGCTACCCGCTACACCACTATACCATTTTCGGGGTCGGCCGCTACCGGCCGCTAACTGCTATTGACAACTATGAATTAGAGTAACAATGATCAAATATGAGGGTGCAGCAGCAGCAGCACGGAGAATATTGCTGATGTTAGACAGTATTTTTTAGATTGTTGCATCATGGACATCGCTTTAGCTAAATCATTACATATAGTTTTGCAGGATTGTTGAGAGTGTGGGACTGGGAGTGACTGAATTCAAAGAGGGTGACCATGTGCTAACAGTGTTCATTGGAGAATGCATGGCATGCAGGCTGTGCACATCAGGAAAAAGTAACATTTGTCAAGTTTTGGGATTGGAGAGAAAGGGTTTAATGCATAGTGATCAGAAGACACGCTTCTCAATAAAAGGGAAGCCTATTTATCATTATTGTGCTGTTTCAAGTTTCAGTGAATATACAGTAGTCCACTCTGGATGTGCAGTGAAAGTCAGCCCTCATGCACCTCTTGAGAAAATATGCCTTCTGAGCTGTGGGGTTGCTGCAGGTAAATGCTTCAAGTGCTTATTATTAGTTCTAAGGAAAGGAAAGGAAAGGATAAGGTCATGGGAAATCTAGTAATCAACATTCAAAACTTAAAACTATGTTACTTCAATATATATATATATATATATATATATGTGTGTGTGTGTAAAAAATTAATTCAACCCAAAAACTTAAGCTGTTGGGTGAGGCTACATTGATGGTTTTATATATCTCAACACGCCCCCTCATACGAGAGCCTATTGGGCTTGAAGGGTGGACAATGCACAGGCCCACCTACCTGTGCAAAGAAAGAAATTCCACTATAAAGAAAGTGGGGGGCGGTGAGGATCGAACCCGGTACACCGAGGCTCTGATACCATGTAAACAATCAATTCAACCCAAAAGCTTAAGCTGTTAGGTGAGACTACATTAATAGTTTTATATATCTCAACAATATATATATTAAAATGAGGTAGTAATAGGTTAGTAGCCACTACTCTGCCTATTTTTTTCCTGTGAATGGTTAGAGGAGGCAATGCTTCTGTGAGAGCAGCAGCTTGTATGTTAAAGGAAAAGGATGACCTCTGCAAATAAACAAAAACAGTGTATATTCAATGACAATAATGTGCAATGAATATATATAATTGTAAAATCATCACAAGTGATCCTTTGAACTGAAAGTCACTGAATGAATTAGTCCAATTTTTTCTTAAATTAGTTTAAAAGACAATTCTGGTTGTTATCTGAAACTGATTGTCATTTGTCAGAGGTCTAGTTCATATTTTAAATTGATTTTAGTGCGTATCAGTGTTCCTTCACCTGGCTCATAGATGCTTGCCACATGCATAGGTTTACCCTGTAAAATGTCCTCTTCAATTTTTGTTTTGTGTTGTTTGCTTTAATATCATGTATTTTCTGTCAAAATTTTTGAATAAGAACGAAATTAATATTAATGAATGACTTTGAGCCGATTAATTTATTGAAAACTTGATTTTTAACGAGTTACTTAATAACAAGTTTAGAAATGTTACTAGATAATTTGTTACAGCTTCTAGACTTGCAGAAAAACTTGAAACTAATTTTGATTATAATGCATTGGATAATGATCCAAAACTCAGATTTGAAATCAGATTCAATGCTTGTATAGTTGAGCTATTGATACTGGTATAGGTGAAGATTTGATACCATTGAAGCAATTGTTAGTTCTAAGTGGCATTGGATGAATAGGTAGGCCATAACGCTAATGCTGGACTTATTTTCCTTCTCTTTCTTATATCCCACATATAGTTTACTATGTACTTTTGTTACTAGACACTGTCTGGTCCATAGTCCTAATAAGTGTTGTTTCTCAATGGGGAGCACTATAATTATTATGTTATTTATTATATAAATTTTTGTTGTTTATTGATTATGTGACCCATTGCTTTAAAACAATAGGTATAGGGGCAGCATGGAATGTTGCTGATGTGTCAAAAGGATCAACAGTGGTAATATTTGGTCTTGGAACTGTTGGCCTTTCTGTAAGTACAGGGACTCAGCACTTGTATCTGTCTTAGCTTCTCAACAGATGAGCAATAATCTTTTTCAAATCATAACTAACTTCCCATTCAATTAGGTTGCACAAGGTGCCAAACTAAGGGGTGCATCTCGAATAATTGGTGTGGACAACAATCCACAGAAGTGTGAAAAAGGTACCATAATCAGTTCCCAAATTACTCCAAGTTTATATTTAAACCTATTATAATCTCTTGATTTACTATTTTTTTCCTTCTTGGTTGTTACCACAGCTGAAGCTTTTGGGATTACAGAAGTTGTCAACCCGAACTCCTACAAAGAACCTATTGCCCAGGTTAGAAAAATATAAAACTATTAATGTAGCCTCACCCAACAGCTTAAGTTTTTGGGTTGAAATGATTTTTTATATGGTAACAAAGCCAATTTAAGTGCTTAACCTTTCATAGTTATCTCATGGAGAAGATGATATATATTGTAATGGATGACTATCAAAAGTATGTTACTAGATTAAGAATTGCATGTGTGATCCAAACAAATTTATTTATTGTCAATGTTATTTTGGTTAACATGATTTTACTTCAGCACATAAACTATGAGCACATGTACAAGGAAAAAAAAAAAGTTATAACATCCATTTATATGTTGAAAATTTTCAGGTTATTAAGCGCATTACTGATGGTGGGGCAGATTTCTCTTTTGAATGTGTAGGTGACACTGATATGATAACCACTGCATTGCAATCATGCTGCGATGTAATACTCTACACACCTAAAACTCATTTTTTGATATTTAAAATCTTTTATTCGTTAGACTTGAACATTATTCTATCTTTCCTTTTTTTCTCATAGGGTTGGGGTTTGACTGTAACACTAGGTGTTCCAAAGGTTAAGCCTGAGATGTCAGCTCATTATGCACTATTCTTAATGGGAAGAACATTGAAAGGATCTCTATTTGGAGGATGGAAACCTAAATCTGATCTGCCTTCATTGGTAGAGAAGTACGTGAACAAGGTAACAGTAACAATACTCAGAATATTTCCTTTTATCTGAGCATGAATGCTTCAAATATTTTTACTTTAAAATGAAACATGGCAATGTCTATTTCTTGTCCTTTCTCCCTTTCTTGTTGAATAATACTTTTCTACATGTGCTTTTCACCTTATGGATTATTTGATTGCTTATAGTTTGAGAATGGAGATGCATTCCTTTAAACAAAGTTTTTAGGAAAAAGAATATGTACTAATATTATGATTGATATGCAGGAAATCCATATTGATGACTATATAACACACAATTTGCCATTTGATGACATTAACGAAGCTTTCAATCTCATGAGGGACGGAAACTGTCTGCGCTGTGTTATCCACATGCCAAGATAATTCCTATGGCTTCTCGTTTCTTTATGTAACAACCCGTTACCGAACCGGTGTGTTATCATTACGTAAGATATTAAGCTCAGTGACAATCATAGCACTTCAATTAAAAATATGGCTAAACTTTTTCTTTTTAACAATTTCTATTTTAATGAAATCAATATCGTATTTAAAATAACCAAAACTGTAATTATAACAAAATAAAGTTGCGGAATGATTAAACCTAGCTTAAACATGTCATACTAGTTCTTTTAGACCCCACCATGAGGTTCCCATACACCTCACAACATCATCCTTTTATTTAGAGTATTTACCCTGTTCACTGAGTACCTCGTTCTAGCAAGCATCTCAGCTAGTGTTTTCATGTATGCTTGCTGCCCATCCCGCTCAAGCAAGCATGTCAGCGAGCCAATAAATCTCCCAGGCAGTGGCTACTGCCCAGTGCCCTGTTTCCTCGCCCTCAAGCTCGCTTAAGCGAGGGCATCCGCGAGCTTGCTCACTCAAACTTCAGCGAGCAGTCCCCTGCCTCAACTCAGCTTCTGTCTTGTTCTAATTTAGCTCGCTGGCCTCCTCGCTAGAGCGAGCGCCCCAGCGAGCAAGGCCAAAAATTAGACATACCCATTTGCTTCTTGTCTTTTTTCCCTCATAATTGGCACACCAATTTGGTACCTAACAAACATGAGAAGACAATCATATGCCCAACAAACATGGGTGCGCTTAAAGCCTAACAATTTATATTAATCCAAGACACTTTCTTATCTTTTCTTGGTTCATAAGTTATTTATCTTGAACTTAACCTTTTTTGACAATCATATTCTCATGCATCTTCCAATGACACCAAGACATGCAATATCACTCACAACCTAGGTCTCACATATCCAATAGGCTTCATAGCCCTTTCTTCATGCACATATACACGAATATCAAATACATTACATCAATATGCAAGCATACATATGCTTGCCCAATATATCAAATGAGTATAGTACATCATATTACAAATATGAATATCCAAATACTAATCCTATACATGTTTTCTAACATAAAATATAGGATACTCCAAAATGGAAGATACATGTGAGATATATCAAAATAATAGTTCTACATATGTCATGATATACCAGCCTCCTCAGGCCTTTTACCTCGTGTCCAACCTGCACCATCTGTGGTAGTACCTAAAAAGGGGCCCCGAAACGTGGGATAAGATAAATATCTCAATAAACTAGGGGTCCTTGGAGGATCTCTTCATCCCAAAGTTCACTTCAGGCATATACAGCAATAACACAATGACATAATACAGTATGTATACATGTATGCAATGTGCGCAAATAACTATCTAATATTCCTGCTAGTGCCTCGTGTTGTCCTCCGAATACAAAATGACAGCATCCTAGCCTTCTTCTCCTAGTAAACATACCGTCGACAGGGCGCTCGAGACAAATAATCCTACTGGCCAGAGAACAATGTACGCATTACGCAACCATGCAACGTACCGTAGGCATTACACAATCATGCAACCTACCGTAGGCATCACACAACCATGCAACCTACCAAAAGTATAAGGAATCACCTTATACCCCACACTCAAGAGTTACCATCTTGTATAAAATCACATCCATACTCATGGGTTACCATCTTATGTGGAAACATGCAAAACAACACATAAAATGCATTATATCATAATTAATTGCGTCAACCACATAAACCAAAACCCACCACCAGGCTTGGTGGAACAATAAAGGGACGAATCCCAAGGTCCGAAAGCTTACCCGTCAGAGCTTTCCACCAAATGCCTTCCTTCACAACAAGGTGATCCTCACCCAATGCAATAGAAGGAAATCCACACCAATGACTTGCCCAACGCAAACCACACCTATTTACAAGATGAATTGCAATCAACAAATTGCTAACAACACAGTCAATTCTAATTGCAAACCAGTGAACATACACATATTCCTAACATACTAGATAATTCACAACCAACTAATAAGTCATGAACTCACCTAGGTTGGAGACAACTCAAATCTCCAAATCAAGCTCCATTTGCTCCTCCAATGCTTGATCAATCCAGTGTCTACTAGTTTCCAACCTAGAAACATACATGAACGCATCCAACATCAACCAACATTACTTGCAACACAAGTAATCTCAACATATAGGCATGCATTTTTCGAAAATAAGGAAGATTATCCAAATGATTTTCTAAATACATTTCCATCGTTTATTTTACTTCTTTAACATTTTCTCCTAAGGACCTAAGCCTCAATCAAGCTCTACATAGTCCCATTTAACCAACATTTTCTTAAAACCCTAGATTTTCAATCAAAAAGAAAATCCATAAAAGGAAAGGGTTTCTTACCACCAATCAAATCACAATGGCTCAAGGAATGTTCTCCAAGCCTCCAATGGAGCAAAACAACACTCCAAGCCTTCCTACCAAGATTGGGGCGCCACTTTGAGAGAGGAAAATCTCTCCACACAATGGTTTTCCGTGGGACTTCTTAGGTGAGTTGGGTTCTCCTTGTGTTTCTACACACTTTTGTAGTTGGAACCAAGTTGATTCATCCATTCTAGCTCACTTAGGGTTTTGCAAGCTCTCTACTCACTCAAAAATGACTTCCTGTGACCTCCCTTCTCTTTTCCTCGAAGTTTGTCTCAATTTCCATCTAATTTTAACAAAACACGCATCTGCTCGTTGGACAGCTCGCTTAAGCGAGCTTTCCTCATGGTCGCTCAAGCGAGCCTACTCAACGCTTGCTGAATAGCTCGCTCAAGCGAACACATTAGCGAAGAGCAGCTGGTAGTGGTTTTTATATCTTTTGTCATTTCCTCACTTAAACACACTTAACCATTTCAAAAGTGGGCTTTTCATATAAACCACATTCCACATTGATTGAACTAAATATTTCACTTATTTTATTTACAATGTGCTTGATTAATATTTAATCTTATTTTATTAAGCCTCTCCCTTAATTAATCTCCATTATACATGATTAATAAATTAATCCAATGCAATTAGACATCTCACATATTAGGGTATTATACTTTCAAAGGAGAAACTACTTTAACTGGTTTATCACAGCACATAGGTCAGAATTGTCACTTGTAAATCATGCTATGCTTTTGTCCTTGCTTAGCTATTAAAATTTAAATATGCTAAAGAATCTCACGTTGTACTTCTTTCAATTTGTATCATTTTTAGCTTCTTTTTTCGTTGCAAGGAGAAAAATGTCTATTTATACAAAAAAAAAAAATTATCATAAAAAACTTTTTTATAATAAATAAAACTTTTTTAAAAGCTCTCAAGGAGTTTTTTTTAAAATGTATTTCAGCTTTTTAAAGTTATTATATTTATTTCCCAATTTCAATCTTATTTTAATCTTGTATTTACAAATTTTATCATTTATTCTAATAATAAATCATTTTGTCTTCTTCCTTTCAAAATCCTGAAACAGCTTTACATAATTATCAAACATCTTTTAACTTTATTTTTTAAAATTTAATTTAAAAATACTTTTAACTTTAAAAAAAAAAATGTTCCAAACAGGCTTCTCTGGAAGCGCAAGTGCAGTTGTTGGCCATTCAAAATAGAATTAAAATTATTTTTCTCCATAAATTGTGTCTGTCTTATTTTGTATTTTTGTGTACCAAAGTTAGGGTTATGATGGTGGGTAACTATCATTGTTAAAAAAAAGTTCTTCTAAAATGCTATAAAATGAATAAACAATTACATATTCATTTTAAAATTAAAAATGGATACACCATTATTCGCACTTTAAAAAAGCCTTATCCATCATCCTTAGCAAGTTTTATGATGACTTAATAACAAAGAATCCTTACTCTTAAACTGTAGTCAAGCAATTTTCATTGATGGAAAATTGACGAATGAAGATACAATAATTCATCTGATAAATAATTTGGGTACCATGCCATGTTCTGGATAGCTGCTATCTCAACTATTTGATATTCTTAACGAATCTAATACTTTTTAAATTGGTACATCAGTCTAAATATTTCTTAAAAAAATATAGAAAATATATCCATGAAATTTTTTAAAATGAAGATACAACAATTCAGTTTAGAAATAATTACTCTCCGTTCCTATTTGTTTTACTTTTAATGTTTTTTCCTACTCTATTTCATTTTCTATTAATCGGAGAACTCTTTAGTTTGTATTAATACAGTTTTTGATATTTAATTTTTCTCTCATAGAAGTATGTTAAGAGTATGAAAACTCACTTATAAATTAAACTTGCTATCCACCTTAGCTTTAATTGAATCTAAATTGGTATGTTAAATTTTCTGCATGCAAGCGACGTTTACCTATGTATTACTTACAAAATGTTATACACTTACAGAACTTGTGCAAGCAAAGTTTCCATAAATACTATATACAAAAGTTTCACACGTCTTCAACTCCAATTTCTGAGCTTATTTTGTGAAACAATCAATCTGCTCATGGGACGAGTTAGGCCCCATTTTTTATTTTTAAGGAAAAAACACTTTTTTTTAATTAAAACACGGAAAATGATATTGTAACAATCAATTAGTGTTATTATCAATGTTACTACCAATCAATTTCACCGTTAAATCGATTACGTTGATCCAACGGTTATATTTATTTCCATCTTTGTATGGTTTTATCCATATTTAATATTTTATATTTATTTTCACCTTTGTATTGTTATGATTTGTCATATTTAATGCTTTCACATTAGATATGGAGAATCATAACCATACAAAGGTGAAAATAAATATAACCGTTGGATCAACATAATCGATTTAACGGCGAAATTGATTAGTAGTAATATTTGTAGTAACACTAATTGATTGTTACAATATCCTATCCCTTAAAATATAATGTTCAAAAAAAAAAGTTAAGATAATTAAATGTTTTCTTAAAATATGCAGAAACACCAAAACACTGTTCTCAAAAGTTACAAAGAGTAACTTACAAAAATTATACCATAAAAGTGTTTTCTCGAAGCTTTATGCAACATTGATGGAGCATATGCTATTTATATGTTATAACTTCACTAACGAAACACGTATCTGGCAGAACCTTAACAAAATAAAAAGGAATTCTTGTCCCTGACGTAATTTAAAAGACTGTCTCATTGTTTAGATGAACTACCACTGTCCATTTCAGACATATTTATATGCTGCTTTCTAGGTGAGGAAGGTAACCTCAACAAAGTACCTTATGTGAGACCACTCAACCCACCTCCCAACAGTATTTTCCCACTTGAAAAAAAGTAAAATAAGGAAGCTCTGCATAGAGCAGTAACATTACATTATTGCCACCCATTCTTCACTTGAACTCAATAAAAGGGTATAATCACCATAAAGATGAGATAGTAAGAGCACTCACTCTGTATACTTCATGGAAGATTATCAAAAACTTAGGGTCCACCCTGCGGAAGTGGAAGCACCGCCGCGACGAACAGCTCCATTGGTAGCTCCAGGTTCCTCAAGATCAGAAATGGGTAGTTCGGCACGGCGGCAGTACCATCCGCCATTGCGACATGCTATGCCAGCAATACACTCAACACCACCTAAAAGAGGCTGCTTTTGCAATTGCATATGCTGGATACTAAGCTTGCTTGTCCTCCTGGTCATTATATTGGCAGCAACTGCAGTAATTCTTTACCTAGTCTTCAAGCCAAAACTTCCAAGTTATTCAATTGACAGCCTGATGGTAAGTGATCTAAGGCTTAATTTTGACATGACCTTGTATGCGAAGTTTGATGTGAAGATCACAGCAAACAACCCAAACAAGAAGATTGGTATTTACTATGAGGAAGGAGGAAGGTTGCGTGTGCGGTACACAAACACTGAGCTTTGTGAAGGGTCACTGCCCCAGTTCTACCAAGGTCATCAAAACAAAACAGTGCTCAATGTATCCTTGACTGGCCAAGTGCAGTCTGGAAGCACCTTAATGAAGGCACTGCAGGAACAACAACAGACAGGACGCATTCCATTGGATCTGAAGATTCATGCACCAGTAGCTATCAAACTTGGGATGTTGAAGCTGAGGAAGGTTAGAATCTTGGGCGAGTGCCTTTTGGTGGTAGATAGCTTATCATCTAATAATCAGATAAGCATCAAGGCTAGCAACTGTAAATTCAAGCTGAAACCTTAATTGGATGATGGATCCTATAGATGCAGAATCTCATATCACTTTTTTGAGGGATTGGAAGATTTATTCTTTAATAAATAATAAACTTCTATAGTTGCAGTGCCTTACAATATTTTTCATCATTATTTGTCTCTAATCTAACAAAGCATTAGCCCCTAGGCAAATTTCTACTTACTCTGAACACTTGGGTTAAGATTAAGCTTTTATTATCTGAATCAGTTAATCCTTATGTATTGGTTAGAATAAGCTTTAACATGCAGACTTTATCCATGTCCTACAAACAACCCAGTATAGAGTTGATTGCCAAAGTCTCATTTTTTTATTTTTTTAAATACTAAAGCCAGTACATTAAACACTGAGAAGTACAATTTCACCAGAAATCCGTTTCAAAAGAGCCATTAGATAATGGTTTCTCAATGTAAAATGCAGGGAAGGAGTTGAGAAAAGGATATTTTTAAAAGTTTCTTTTCTGGTTTTTCATTTTTATGAAGTATCAAAAATGGAGGGGAGGAATTGAAATAGACCGGGCTGCTTCCTGAATCAAATATGAGATTCCATTTGCCAAGTTACTCTGACAGTGCAAAAGCTCTAAGGTAGAAAAGACATGATGATTGCAGAACAAATGCAAAAGTTCTAGCCCGTATGATTGACTCTTGAACACATACATTCTCATTCCAATAAATGTTTTAAGGTGAAATATCAAAGTTGCCAGATCATGAAAAGTTCATAATTAGCAAAGCCAATCCAAGGTTATTTTCGTTAAGCAAAATTAAAATTGCTATGGAAGAAGATAAAACTTTAAATAATCTTTTATCTCTTGATCTCAAGTAATAAGACAAAATATTGTGAGGCCCTGGGTTAAGTGTCTCATTGATGACACCAACTATTTATGTGTACATAGGAAAAAATATATCCATTGACAAATTAATTATTTAATATAGCCATCTTGCATTGGGACTATAATAATTTAAAATAAATAATATTCAAAAATAAAGAAATGCTTAAAAATCATCTGTACAATGATCCTGGTACATAATCAGAAACATGAAGTTATTATACAGGGAATAATGATCATCTTCCACAAATTGATATTACACCTTCATTCAACTAAGCAGACTCAAAACTCGCTATGCTTAGATTTGCTTATCTCTTTATGCAATAGGCTTTTAATCAAAAATGGATTTTATTACCTTATTTTGTTGTGGGTGAACGAATGCTGCACGACTTGTCATGAGTGTATGTAACTCAGTAACTAATCACCAGTTAAGGCCCTTGATCTATGTTCAATGGTACAAAGGGACATCCCTGTCTGTGAAACTGCTCTGACAAATGCCATATTTGCAGTTAAAGTTGGAGCATGCCAATGGTCACCAGTGCCAAAGACAACCTTGTTTTTCAATGCCAGCTTCCTAGTTGTTGGGAGGCCCATCATGCGTTCTGAAGGAGTATCAGGAACAACCCTGTGGTAATCGTCCTGCTTGTTAGTGCAAAATATTGCAAATATCATTTTAGGCAGTGGCAAAAGAAAGGGAAAAAAAAATGGATGTCAACTGTGAACAATATAACTACAAGATTAGATGAAAAAAAATCATTAAATGCAACTACGTAAGTTTAGCAAAACATCCTCCAATTGATTTCCTAAAAGTGATTGTTTAACAAAGTTAACAAACTAATACTGCCATAACAATTTGCCTTTGCTGTTTTTTTTTTTTTTTTTTTTTTTGCAGATTTTTTAAACCTAAGTGGTTCAAACAGAGATAGAATAGCTCATTAAACTCACCTGAGGCAATTTATTAACCTGTCAGCTCTCAGTTTCTCGTTGGGCCCTCCACACATCAATACCAAGTCCTTAAATTCAGTAAGAACACTGTCACAAATTATGCCATTCTTCCCACATAGGATTCTACCAAATTCCATGTGGATTGGGTTTTGAAGTTCAGACATTATCTAGCACAAAAATTGAGGAAAGGTTTAGCCAATTCACTCAATGCTGATAAAAACCAGAGTAATTCATAAAAAACCCATAATGCAAACAACATATGAAAATAATACGAAAGAAGAAGAAACATTCCAAATTCCCAATGCCAAACTAAGAATCAAACTGCTACTATCATCATTTCAAAACGAGATCATTAGGTCCTCCCGATTTTGAATGTTTTGATGTTTGAGTTAAATGATTCTGTAAATCATAACAAAATAATGGTTGTTCCATGAATATTTCACCACCAAATAGGACTAAGCATGCAAAAGGTCAAAAACACAAAGTAGGTGGCAAAATTGTCAATAAGATAACTCACTTGACCAACCACAAAGTCAAAGTTTCCCTTAAACCGCTGCCTCAGTTCACCCTCCGGAGTGGCCAAAAGTTTCTTTGTTCCACCATTACTAATTCCTGATACAAGAGCTATCAAAGCTGTTGTATCAAAATTTACCAGATCACTCTCACCTAAAAGATTCGCAGGCTCAGTGGATTCAGAATTTTTATTCTCCAACGAGCTTAGTTTCATTCCCATAACAATGGAAAAGAATGTATCACCCAAGTTTGTTTCGACACGATCTTCTGAAGGCTGCAGTCGAGTTTCAACTTTATCTACTGAAAGCACAAGTTTAGAAGAGTCCCCACTTTTCTCCACACTTGAACCTTGAACATTGAATCCTGAATTAGGAACCACATCCTTGCTATCAGCAGGGTTGATTTCAAGGACACATGCATCTCTATACGACCTTGCAATAATATTTACCCAGTCACCATCTGTTTCTTCCAACATGTCAGAACTGAAAACTGAAAACTCCAACTGGATTTCAGATGCCCCAAACTCATCCTGAAGTTTCTTGTAAACATGGTTTGCAAGTCCATTGGCAAAGAAAAGAATAACTGAGGAAGGTCTCAAGGTTAAGTTAGATTTGGCAGCAGCAAGGACTTGTTGAATCCGTAGTTGTAAACCCTTACTTCTATGGCTTCTATTCCAAGAAATGTACTTTGGGTTTCTATCAGAAACTATAATCCAAACTGGCTTTTTGTTGAGGGTACACACTACATCAACATGGATGTCTTTAAGAGAAGAACTACGTGTCTCCTCATTTCTAACTGAAGTTGAGAGTGGGATTGACTTGCAAACTCGAGAAACTCCACTTATGAAAGGCTGCTGGAGAATATGTACAACTGTTTCAAGGTGCCCAATGTTGACACTGTCATCATATAGAAATACTCATCATAAATTACGAAGTAATTAAGAAAGTATCAATAGTTAAGTCTGACCACAGGACTTCAATTAAGAATGAAAACATGATCCAAACACAGTAAGACACACATCTTTGCTCTTTTCTATTTAAAAAAAAATTAAAATAAAACAAAATAAATGTCACTACTTCATAAAGTCACAATAACTCTACGCATAAGATAAAATTTCCTGAGAAATACTCAAATTACACTTTTTCTGTTTTTTAAATATTACACTTCACTCTTTTAAGAGACTAACACATGCTATATTTTAATCTATGTAATATAAATGAGCATTTATGTAAATTCATCCATGTGTTGATACTTGATATAGACTCAGATTAACGTGGATATACACTAATACACCAATCAAAACACACACACACACATACACCAGACTAAGATTTAACATTCTTACACCAATCAATTCAAAAGTTGAATTATAACTATTATTATCTTGACTATTTGTGTCAAATCTTGTAAAATTAAACAACAATAGCAACATAATAAATGCTTTTTTCTTATATTTCAAAAGTATATATAACGTTAATGTTGATATATGTATGAACAAAACGTTAAATAAATTTAGATTAATGTGATATTTTATAAATACTATCCATGTGAAAGAAACTTTCAATATAACCGTGGATTTCCAGATAAAATTATCAAGTAAAAAAATTACTCTATATTTAAAAGTAATTTTAAGTACACTAGTGTGAGTTTACACTTTACAAGAACATAATTCAAAATCAATTCAAGATGAATGAAACATGAATAACCTGAGGGGTGAAGAAGAAGAGGAAGAGGAAGAGGGTCGAGAGAGGAAAGCAAGCTCTGCACGTGCCAATTTGAGGAGGGTTCGTCTGCAGGAATCAGTGATGTTGGTGGAAGATGGCAACTGCTGAATTGCATCAACCACGCACCTGCACCTATGCTTCGCCACTTCCATTCTTCTATTCTGCTTCAAAAGGAATCAACTTTATTCTTTAATTGCAGACCCATCTTCTCCAATTTTCGATTTCTCGCTCCTCTTCTCCGATTATTCCAATACCGAACAGGACCCCTTTCTAAAACCCTACTACCAGTCTGGTTTCCATTTTTTTACCTCTCTGTTGCCACTTTAATTTATTGTTCCTGCACTGCATACCATGATGCTATGAAAGTTTACTTCAACAATTTTTTATGGGATAATTCAACAAGGTTAATATCTTGGGTTTTTTTACTTCTTTTTACTTCAATATTGATATATTTTTTATTTTATTTTTAGGACTACCTATCTTTATTGTAGTTTTTTAATTTTTTATTTTTGGGGAAATCGTTGTAAGAAAGGCCCTTTTTTATGTACAAGAAAAAGAGAGAGGCAATTTTAATCTTGCGTTCAAATCAAATTGAAAACATGCAAAAAAAAATTAATTTAATACTTTTTAATTAAATAATTACGTATTTATTATAGTTTTGGGAATAATTACATATTTATTGCACGATGTGATGCCCAAAAAAGGGGTCACCTGTGCAGCCCTATAAATACCTTCACTTTTACCATTTCACTTCTCACTCTTACCATTTCACCTCTCTTTAACCACATATTGTGCTCCCGACCGAACGCAGTTATTTTCGTAGCGAAGCTTTGCCAACTTAGATAAGTTCGTAATACCTGTTATTTATACGTTTAAATTACACTGCTACCTTGCGAACATGTTAGGATTTATTGTATATTAGAGAATTAGAACATAAGGATAGTCACTTAGAAATTTTGTACCATGCTATGAATGTTGTAATTATTTAATAATTTTTTTGTTATGTAGTTATTAATATTAATATTTAATTATGCATTGGGGTTTAGCGTATTAATTAGCGATTTAGAAAATAGTAATAGTGACTTCGTAAATTTTGTATATGTTATTATTAGTACATGTTTACGAAATTATTAGTGACTTAGGGTTAAGTATTATGTCAGTATGCTTTAATTTGTGTCCGACATTTTATTATTATTATTTGACCAATAAATTATTGTACTGGGTATTAATATGATTGCATTAATTACGATTGTAGTAAAAACGTAGGGTTTATGCTTAATATTTTTGATAATAAATTAGGGCATTGCTTAATTAATTTGTACATAAAATGTGTTGTTACATGTGATTAATTTCAATGTTGTTTTATATTATATAGTTTAGGGTTATGGCTGATTCATCATCATCTTCAGGTTCTGCATCGGATCCAGAGCCTACCGATCCTAGCATGTACATCACACCTGGGCCTTATAGATGGGACGTCCTTTGTAAGGGGACACAGAGTGGCCATATTTCACAGAAAGTGTGGAATACGAAACATGTGAGGAGACTGAAGACCAGGCGTAGGAGACCACAGGGGGGCCACCTACCGGCGCTATTCCAGAGGTGGTCACAGACTACCTCACACAGGCTGGATTTATACATGTTGCCCGTATGCGACATATCCAGGTATGCAATTTTCGGCGTTTTGTATGTATGTGATTATTCAATACCATTCGTTAACACGTGATAATTGTATAATTTATTGCAGATTGATGCCCCATTAATTAGTGCTCTGGTCGAGAGTGGAGACCAGAGACACATACTTTCCACATGACCCAAGGTGAGATGACTATCACCTTGCAAGATGTGGCCGGCATATTGGGATTGCCTACTGACGGCATTGTCGTTACCGGGTCTACATCCGAGGATTGGCCCGCTGTTTGTGCTACTGTTTTTGGCGCGAAGCCACTGGCCAGTGAGTTTCATCATTCAGGTGACCTCCACATCTCATTCTTGGATCGGTTATATACCTGGTGGACTGATCACGGACACCCACAGTCAGGGATTCACGCCATCCCACGTGCAGGGCAGTACTTCAGGCCATGTTTATGGACATTATCCAGGACAGTCTTCGAATATTGGAGGGACCGCACCGGCAGATGATTTCATGCGGGCGACGATGGATGATTTCCAGACTCCACCACCACCGGCACATCAGGGCGACCCGACATGGGACAGACGTATCCAGCCAGATAGGGATGCACGTCATAGGCCATGGCCACCGTGGTCGTAGTTTTATTTCCATATAGGGGTTTTTATGTATTAGTTATGACGTTATTGTAGATACAAGGTATGTTTTGATGATAATAAAGTGGCAACAACAAAAAAGCAAGATCATTTGATCAAGAGCAAAAAACATCAACCATATGTGGATATTGAAGATGTATGATGTAGCCACACAAGAAGAGTGATATCATATCAAAGTAGCAAGATCATTGGATCAAGAGCAACAAGAAATAGTTAGAAGAGCAATAACAAGATCAAAGACAACTGACCATGGACAACATCTAAGAGAAGCTCAATATCATAACTATGGTGAAAAATGATCAAAACCAACAAAGTGTCAAGCATTGTCAAATTCAACAAGTCAAAGCATCAAGTTCAAGAAAAGATCCAAGACACAAGACATGAAGCTAAGTCTAAAATCATATTTAGAATATATCTTTTGGACTTAGAATATATGTGAAGGTATATGATAGATTGCATTGCATGAGCTCAAAGTGTTTCTCAAAGTAAATGTATTTTTCAAATTGCATAATCATAACCTTTATATACTTGATAAATATGTTTTGAAAAGATCCTTGACATATTTATAACTTCAAAACATATTTATCAAGTCAAGATCTTTCACAAAAAGTAGTTGGAAGCAAGCTAGAACACATTTGAACTTAAAATTTGTTTCTTAATTTTGCTGCTGCCTTCCATACAATTTTTCATATCTAATATGATGGATTTGGATCTTGTGTTCTTCATAAAATTTGTAGATCTATCTTTTATCTTTCCAAATAGACCAAGATCACATCAATCCGACAAGTATAACTCAAATTAAAGCAAAAATACGAAACAGTGTTCTTGCTGTCAAGTTGGGAATCGATTACCACTGCAATAGATCCCAACGGCTATAAAACGGCTAGTTTTTCAAAAGTGATCCCAATGTCTATAAACAACTATAAAACGGCTAGTTTTTCAAATGAGATCCCAACGGCTATAACCGGCTAGTTTCCCAACGGCTAGTTTTCAATGAAAACACTATATATGCATTCCCAATGACTCAAAAACATTGGACATCATTTCTACACATATTAAGCATACTTTGAGAGCTTCTACACTATCACTTGCATATTCTTTCATATCTTTAAAGATCAAACGTATTTGAGCTTATATCTTGAAAATCCATATACCCATAGTGCTTCAAGTTGTATATCCACACTTTAAGAGTGTATATTCATTTCTAAATATTTTCTTCCTTGTATTCTTGAGTTGAAAGGGTTGTGAGACCCATTGTTTGAGAGGTGGCCAAATACCTAAGTAAATTTGAAGTGAATTGCAAGGTTACCAAGTACCCGTAAACTTGGAGATTGAAAGGTATCCAAGAACCCGAAGTCTTAGAAGATTGTAAAGGTTTGTCAAGCATCCGAGAAGCTTGACCATTAGTGAAAGAGTTGATCGAGCGGCTTCAGTCTGGACATAGGTCACAAGTGGTGGTGACCAAACCAGGATATATTGTGTTTGCAATTCTCTAAACTCCAAACTCTTTATTTCTAGCACTTTAATTGCTTCCTTGATATCTTGTATATGCTAGTATAAGTTCTATAATTGTGATATATTATATATTATGGATTGTCTGAATGTATTGATTAGCTTTTCACATATTAAAGTTTACTTGAAATGATTATTTTGAAACTAGAAAGGGGCTTTTGCGAAAATCTTGTAATACTCAATTCACCCCCCTCTTGAGTATGGAAGCCACATTCCTAACAAGTGGTATCAAAGCCTAGTGCTCAGTTAGAGGTTTAACCGCCTAGAGTTAAAGATCCTTGTTTGGGCGTTCAATATAAATTTTTTTAAAATGCAAGGCTTTGAATGTGATAAACCACCATTCTTTGATGGTGAGGATTTTGAATATTGGGTGAAAAGAATGGAAGTTTTTATTCAGTCAATTCATCTTTACATGTGGCATGTGTAGATAAAGGCTTTTCTTTGAAAATAGAAGAATCCATGAATGATTTCAATAAAAGATGTTTTATCTTCAATCTTGAGGCTATGCAAATGCTTAGAAAAAGTGTATATGATGATGCATATGCTAAGATTAAACATTGCATGAATGCTAAAGATATATGGGATACTCTTATTGCTATCTATCTTGTCAATAATGATTTTGTGCATAAAGATGCATATAGAGAGCAAGAAGAGAAAAATCCATTGGAAGAAGAAAAAGATGATGAATGCACTCAAGAAGGGATTAAAAGTGATCAAAGAAGCTCAAAGCCTCTTTGTGACAATGATGACATTCAAGTTGAGGTAAATAATACAAATCTTGATTATAGTCCTATACATGATGATTTACAATATACATATGGTGAGTTGAATGATGACTTGTTGAATTCACAAACGAAAATTTTGGCTTACTTGCAAAATATCTCTCTCATTGAAAATGAAATTGAATCTTTGAAAAATGTATATCAGTCTCAAGAAGAGAGATTATATTTGGTTTGTGAATCCTCAACCACTTTAAAAAATTGCATTGATGTTGAAACTCATGTTGAAGGGTCACCTTCCAAACTTTCCATAGTTAATATTCCTACTTGCTCATATTCCATGTTTGAAAATGAAAATAATAGTGATACTTTTATCCAAGGAAAACCTATAAATGATTATGGAAATAATAGTTTAGATAGTGATAATTGCAAGAAAGCCAAAAACATGAAAGTTGAGCTTGAAAAGAACAACTTATCTTGCAAACACATTGTATGTAATTATTGTGGTAAAGTAGGACATATTTCTCATTTGTGCTATCATAAAAGAAATTCTTGCATGAGAAATAAGTTGGTTTGGGTTGTCAAAACTTCTATAGATGTTATTCCTAACACTCAAGGACCCAAGATGAAATGGGTACCAAAAAGTCTTCCTAGCCTTTCCAATGTGCAGAAAATTATTCAAAATGATGGACAAAAAGGTCAAAAGAAAAAGAAATCATCAAGGAAAATGCTTCCTAGGCCCAATAATGGAATTATCAATCAAAGAAGTAATGGAACTTCAGCCAAAGCTTCTCA